CATGTGTTCAGCATATCAAATGACTATGTTTTGGTTTCCCTTGAGAGTACACTTATCTGCTGGCTTCTGAAGCTGGCAGATATCACCTCTCTTATTCAGATGAAATGCCCTTTTAAAAGCTTTCCCTACCCAATCATGCATCATTTTAAGATTCGTAGCATAACTTTTTCTTGCTTACACTTGAATTCGCTACAAAAGAGATCACAGATAACAGCATTACAAAAGGAACTCAGTAGGTTAGCATTTGAAAATAGCTTTTTTTTATTTCTTAAAGGGAAGGATTCTATTTATCTGTAGCTTTCTGGAGCTCTGTAAAAATGTGTATTGATAGTTAGGTTAGGAAGCTGGAGCATGGAATTTCTGCTTCCAGTAGGCCATGCCCCTAAAACTCTCCAAAATATCAGTCATTAACCAGTCCAACTCTGGACTGGATCCAAACATGCAGAGCAATCCTAATAGGATCTGGGGAAGTGCAGAGGGCTAGAGAGACTAATGCATGTAATGTTATGCTGAATCCTGCCAGCCGCAAGGAAGGAGACAGGAACTGAGCCACTTGAGACATCCATGGAGCTTTGGATCTCACAGATTAGGGCTTTCTGCGTGTTACCATAGCAGAAAAGCTGGTAGCAGTTTTCAGGGCACAGCTTTGGACCTACATGTTATCCTAATGCCCACAGCCATCACCATCAGGGGGTTAGGATTGTACCTTTAGTCAGGTTTAATAGTAGACTCAAATCAACAGGAATAAACATTAACTTAAGCCCTGTCAGCTTTCAGTGTGTCTAGACTAAGCATGCCAAAGTCTGGATCCAACCCACTGTATTGAAATGGACTGAACTAGGCGTTCTTATATTTCCAGTGAAGTTGTTTCATAATTTAAGACCTTAAATAGAGAGCAATAAATTCATTCTTGACCACTTTGTAAACTTTCACTCGCATTCCCACAGGCCACAATCCAGCACAGATATAGGTAAGCACAGAGTTTATAGAATCACGCAATTGTAAAGTTGGAAGGGACTCCGAGGTTCATCTGGTCCAACCCCCGCAATGCAGCATACTCAACTAACCCATTCATGACTGATGGCCATCCAACCCCTGCTTAAAAACAGGGTTCACCACCTTCCAAGGGAGTCTATTCCGCTATCTGACATCTCTTACTGTCAGAAAGCTCTTTTTGATGTTTAGCTGGATTTAATTTACCTGAATTTTAAAGTAGTAAGCATATTGTTAAATCCAAGAATACTTAAAGAACAAAAGTATGGGCAAATAATTGTCTCATCAGTTGGCGATATTGCTGTTATTAGTGTGATACAGTGGAAATGAATAATTGAGTGAATGCTATTAGCAGAGTCCATGTATTACTGAAATCACAGTAGGTCATAATGGAATTCTTGGCATTTGCTGGTATGAAAATAACAGGCCTTTTCTAGATGCCATGGAACTTTTTGACATCTATGATAGGTGTAATACTCGTAACATAAAATGGTGTTTTACCTCTTAATTAAACTGAATTTTTGACTAAAAATTTTACTTGACAACTCTGAAGAGGCTGGCATGCCAATTGATTTGCTTGTCTTCAGTGCTACATCAGTGGAAGAATTCAGTATGCTACTGCCATGATACTATTACATTTGTCTTGACTCACAAATGTAAACAATGGTGGTGTGGCCCTTTATAAGGCAAGTTAGGTGGCGGTTGCTTTGTGGAGCAATCTGGTCACATAAAAGAGCTAGCCATGCAGTTCTTCTAGTGTTCACTTCCAGTAATTTTAGCAGTACAGTGGTACCTCGGGTTACATACGCTTCAGGTTACAGACTCCGCTAACCCAGAAATAGTGCTTCAGGTTAAGAACTTTGCTTCAGGATAAGAACAGAAATCGAGCTCCGGCGGTGCAGCAGCAGCAGGAGGCCCCATTAGCTAAAGTGGTGCTTCAGGGTAACAACAGTTTCGGGTTAAGAACAGACCTCCGGAACGAATTAAGTACTTAACCTGAGGTACCACTGTAGAGTGTTGTAATTTTTTTTAATGGTGACTGCTAGTAGGAACATCTTGGTGAAAACAATTTGCCACCCCGAACAACCTCTGCACAATTGCATTATAAGCAGTAGGAGCATAGAGCAGATTCATATATATCTTGAAACAAAGTGGGCCACTTCAGAGAGATTTAAAACTTGTGCAGGGTGAAGTGGGATCTCTCTGACGTGCCCTAATTTGAAGCAGGGACCTCCAAAGCAGTTTGGGACAACTGGAGGAATCAGATGTTTCAAAAGTGCTGTAGACGGTGTGCCTTCAAAAAATGAGACATTTCTCCCTCAGCGTATCATTTTATAAGGAAATTAACAGGGTGAGGAAAGGTGGTGAAGGGAAAGTTCTTTTATGACTGAGAGATCTATCTTCTAAAAAGAGGGAATGATTTTACCAGGGCTCTCCAGTCACCATGTTCTTTGCTAGTTTTGCTAGTTCTTCTAGTAGTTCATGCTTGGAAAATGCTGGACTTTCATATCCTTCTGCTTCTGTCCCACATACCCACTCCTTTCAAATCAGCTTTGACCTTAGTTGAGCCATACAAAAACCTAAAGCTCTTTTTAAATTTTAATTCCCTAAGATTCTGTTATCATCATTTTGAAATTTTGTGGACTCTTTTCCCAGAGGCAGCCCTGTGCTATTTTTATAATAAAATTATTGCCCACTAAAACCACAGAGCAGGTAGCGAAACCCTTTAAATACCCCCTCCCCAAAATCAATGTTAAATATACATAGCAGGAAAATTCCTGGTCCTATTTATCAGTATTTTGGCAGGTTCCTTATCAAGGAAAATCTCTCATGTATACTTTTTTTCTCTCACAGCCTCCAAACTATGTAGGAAAATCACTGCATTTATCCTTTTGAAACTTGGCAGTATTCATCTCCTCAGGTGTGGCTACCATACCCAAAAATAAAATAAAATTACAGACAGTTCATTTGCCATTGGGGTGGGTAGATAAAAATCATCACATAAAATAAAAATACTGTGACAATTTGTTTCTGATATGTCAGAAGTGACTATGTCCACAAATTTCATCCAGTTCTGTCAATAAGGGGGAAATGCTGTAATGTTTCATTTTAATTTGCCCATAATAGTGAATGGGGAAGTTTAACACTTAATTTTTGCAAATTGGGATTTGGCTGCAGACCCCTAGCAAAACTGGATTGCTTCCAGATCAGTTCAGACTAAATTACAGTACAAATTGAGTCTTGCGGTCAGTACAGACCCCTAATTAGTAATTAGTAATGTTGCTTGTTTGCATATGTAACTTAAGGCCATTTCTACTGCCTTGGGAAAACCTGCGAATGAAGAAATGGTTTTTAAAATAATGTTTCTGTAACTTTGAATATAAAGGGCCAGTATAATTTTGCCTCCTCAGCCTTTCCTACTGCAAAAGAAACAAATCACATTTTAAATTTAAATGACTGACTTAATGGCTGGGCATGGATGATCATATTAATAAGCTTAGTTATGTATGAGTCTTTTTCCTGTGTATGCAGGCCCTTCCCCTCCTCCATTTGTGGCAGTGCTGAAGTCTCCAAGTTTGTTTTATCTGCACAGGGAAATTATGCTTACCAACTTTGGAACAAACCAGGATCGTGAACTAACTTCAAAGGATGGTTTCAGTCCCACAGTTGTTCCACAGATGGTAATAACCATAGTTTCATGGTTCAGATGAAATGGAAACAATGGTTAATTGGAGACTCCTCCATTTCATTAAAACATGCCATGAAGGAAGGAGGGAGGGTGCTGCATGTTCAGGCACAGTGGTACACTCAGGTGATTCTGGACTGTGGTCTTACTGATCATAGAATCAGACTTGGAAGGGACCCTGAGCATCATCTAATCCACCCCCCTGCAATGCAGGAATATGCAGCTGCCCCTTACAGGGATCAAACCTGCAACCTTGGTATTATCAGCACTGCACTCTAACCAACTGATCTATCCAGTGGGAGATATGATGAATGAAATGAAGTTAGCACTTGCTATGCCAAATTGAAATAAAGGTTTGACTGTATGTAAAAAAGGGTAAAGGACCCCTGGCTGATTAAGTCCAGTCGGTGCTCATCTCGTTTTAGGCTAAGGGAGCTGGAGTTTGTCCGCAGAGAGCTTTACTCAGATTGGTTGGGCTTTTTAATCTTGATTATTTACATTTACATTTGAAATAAGATGATGATGATGATTACCATGGTAGGTGCCAATTCCAATCCATTATTGGAAATCATATATATATATATACACACACACACACTTTAAATAACGTTTAATTAGAAATTGTAACTCAGTATTTTGCAAAGCTACCCCCCCCCAAGCATTTGATTTGGGTGACCTGAAACAATATGTCTAGAATTATGGAAAATGAGCTTTCTGAATATTTGTGTTTGAATATTTTGAAGTCAATATGCAGTTGCTTCTGAATGAGCTCAGTTAAGCTACAGATGGAGCCATAAATTCCAATAAAGTGCTCACATGTCAGTAGTATTATACGTGAGAAGCACAACAAGCTGGGCTGAATTGTGAAAATGTTCCCTCATCCGAATCTTTTTGCATTACTTTGTGAGAACTTAATGGAAATTCTTGCTCAAGCTGACACCCATCAGTTCAAGCATACTGCCTGGAACTTTGGGTTTGTGGTCTAATACTGTTCAAAAGGGAACAACAACACCCTTAAACTCAATAGTAATATTTTTATAGTAATTATAATCAAAATGCTGTTTCTTGGGAATTTGGCTTTTAAAATGGATTGACTTGCTTTTGTCAAATAGCTGAACAAGATATAATGAAAGGAGCTAAGCTTAATAATAATAATAACAACAAATTTTAATGTTGGCTTTTCCTTTACTTGGTAAGTTGTTGGTTACCAGAAGACTCCTGGGTCTATTTTTGTTTAACAAAATGCAAAATATTTGAGTAGAATATATTAAAACAAATGAGTTTTATGTATAATGGTACCATTTTTCCCCTTTATTTGAAGGTCACTCTGTGAGATTGCTGGGTCAGAAAAAGGATAATGGAAAACGGTTGGGGGGAGCGCGATTGGATTTGCCAAAGATTAGAAAGAACCCACTGATAGAAATAATTTCCATCAATACAGGGTAAGCATCATTCAAACTGACATAAAATATTCAATACTGCCTAGAAATTCAATTTCATTTTTGTCCATTCTTAATGCAGAGCTGCCTCAGGTCATACCATAAAGAACAATTTAGGGGGAAACAGTGAAAATTCCCATGATATTCAGTAGCATTAATACTTTAAGACAAGTTACCTAATTATTTACTTACATTTCACAGTTATAAAAACTGAAGGGGTGTGTGTGTTTGCTTAAACTGTAGTGTCTGCTATTTCTAATCTTTCCTGAAAACATAATTTTGTGTTGGGATAGATCTCTTTTGTATGATGACTAACTCTTCCTACACCAGCTTTTACACAGCCAATTTCCACGTCCGTTTTGTGGTTAGAGGAACTACCATGGGGCTACTTTCCCCCTCAGGACCCACAAGATACTGTTGGAAAGCTCTCCTGAAATTGAATAGCACTTTTGAGGACATTGCTTTTTTAATATGCTTGGGCTTTGGCTCTTAATTTGGGTGATGCCTGGGTGCCAGAATGATGCCTGACATCTCTACCATCTGAAAGTACATGGCTGAGGATCATTGGATCTGGACTGTTTTCACACACTAACACCCCACGCTGTAGAATTCCATCAGTTATGTTTTATCTGCACAATTGGAATGAATTTCTGGATCAAATTTGCTTTTTCTGTGCAGCCTGAGCAGGAGCAGTCACCATTAAGAGAAAGAGGTCGGAATATATAGGCTGTCCCTGGATCAAGTGACTTTTCAAGTTCTCAAAGCTCTTAACCTAGCCCAAGGTTGTCATCTGAACTAGCTAGATGTTTATCTGAGAATCAATCACAGTCAGTCCATCATTTGAAAAATAAGACTTTAAAGCCGTCTTGCCCAAAAATGACAACTAAACATTCCCTTTTGGCGACTGTAACCTTGTTTTAAGGACCCATTTGTGCCTAGCTTATATATCTGAGTTTCTAACACTCTTTTTAATTATCTCTCAAAAGCTTATACTAGTCGGCTAAGGTGAATTGAGGTTACAGGACAGTGTTATCTACTCTAAAGTCTGCACCATGGGAACTAAGTCCTGCAGAATCAGTTATTTATGTAAAAGAAGACTGAGCTGCAAATGTCATTGTTTTTGTGGTGTATCTCTTATTAGGCAAGCAGCTGGTCTAATTAAAAACAGAACACTATCTCTCTTGCCTGGGTCATCCCTGGTTGCTAACACAGCAGTAACACACAAACCCTCCTCCTCTCTCTCCACCAGTCCAATTTCCCCATAGTCATTGCTTTCCCCCCTCCCTGCTTTCCTTTTGTTCTCTCTGGAACTGCGGCTCCCTTGCCCAGAAAACAGTCCTCTTCCATGAGTTTTTCCTCTCTTGGTCCATCAATTTCCCCTCACAGAAACTTTGCTTTCCCCAGCACTGCCCCTGTTTCTGCCTTCTCCTTTAGATAGTGGGGTAGGAGAGCTGAGAAAAAAATCACATCAGTCAACCAATGTGTCCTTTTGGTTTCAGATAGCACATGTGTAGACTAAAAAGCCTGGGGCACAAATTTCACAGCCCTCCAGCGGCTGTGGTGGCTCATTTACCAGAAGTATTTAGTGCTAACTCTGGAAGTGTTTACTCGATTCAGACCAAACTAAGCCTCCTAGAGCATAATATACAGGGACTGAGCTCATAGCAGTGCAGAATCAACAAGACCAAAGGAGGAAAACAGACACAATCTCCTGTCCAGGGGCTCTCACCTTCACACTAAGCCATAGCTTGGTTTCGCATTACTTGTGAACTGAACCATATTGTAATCATGCACATTCTTTCACAGTATTCAAAGAGTAATTAAAAATGAGAAAGCTAAATGGAGAAGCCAGTAATAGGTGATGTGGATCCATCTTACTGAGAGCAAAAAGGATATAAAAAGTTTTGAAATTTCTTCATATGAAACAAAACAACTTGTGCTTAAAAGTTAGGAGATGAGAGAGGGAAAAAATAATTGTTTACCATAGAAATAATTGCAAAAGCTTTTTTTTATTTTTGTCTGTTTCTAGAGGTATGTGTACACACACATGCATGCACATGTATTAGTGGTGCTGGAATACATCAAAGATACTATTTCTTAATTAAACTATTTAAATGGGATCTCTGACACACAGTATTTTTCCAATTACTTGTCCAAATATGTAACCACAGTTTTGTTAATCTAAGTACTTTAACATTATTTTCTTTGTTTTATTTATGAAGTTCTACATCACTGAATATGTTTGAGCTGTTATAAAGAACATTGCTCTTTAGATTTATGCATCTATGTGTTTAGTTTGATATTCCCACACTTGCCCCAAGGGGTAAGAGCAGCCAACATGTGCAGTTTTTGTAGCTCAAAGTTTATCTTAATCCAGCATCGTTCCAGCGGCATCTTACATAAGGAATGTGCTGCCAGACCTGCTACTCTGCCTGTTAGTTGCATCCCCTTTAGAATTGTGAATTACAACTTATCCACTGGGCAGGGTTGCACTGAAATAGTTGGCCCTTTGCTTTTTCTTAACAGCCGCCCTTCAGAACATAAGAGGAGCCTGCTGGATCAGGCCAGTGGCTCATCTAATCCATCTCACAGTAGCCAGCCAGATGCCCATGGGAAACATGCAAGCAGAGACTAAGCAAAGAGCACTCTCCCCACCTGCAGTTTCCAGCAATTGGTAGTCAGAAGCATATTGCCCCCAGTTCTGGGGGCAAAGCGTAGAGCATAGCCAACATGACTAGGAGCCGCCATCATGATCATGATGATGATGATGATGATGATACTGATACTGCTTCCTATGAAGCATCTCAAGATGATTTCACAATAAACACACACAAACACACAAATTGCATATCTAAAAAAATAACAGCAATTACACACACAATACAGATGTTAGGGGTGCTGCGAGTTCTAGTCCCAGACACCTGGAGGGCAATGGTCCATGTATCTTTTCTGAACTGTGATTCCATTAGTATGTTCTTAGGACACACACGTTTCCTAAGAGAAGCTTTTAGAAATTTCCCTCAATAGATTCTGTAGGATATTTAGCTAAATTAGTGTTCTGAATTTCAAAAATCATGTGGCGGCTTTGAAGTGTGACAGAGAACATAGTCATTAACCAGACAGAAAGTGCCTCTACTTATGAGCACATCTGGTTACATATCCTTCGGGATACGCATACGGCAAACCCGGAAGTATTTTTCCGGGTTTTGCCATGTGCAGAAGCACTCTACCACGCTGCACGCATGCGCAGAACAGGCACCTCCGGTTGCGAAAACCTCAGGATCCGACTGGAGCTCTGGAACAGATCCCGTCTGCAACCGGAGGTACCACTGTAGTATGATTTCACTGGCCAATATATTCTGGCAGCCAATACAGTGGTGCCCCGCAAGACGAATGCCTCGCAAGACGAAAAACCCGCTAGACGAAAGGGTTTTCCGTTTTTGAGTTGCTTCGCAAGACAATTTTCCCTATGGGCTTGCTTCGCAAGACGAAAACGTCTTGCGAGTCTTGCGATTTTTTTCCACTTCCCCCCCCCTTTTTCTAAGCCGCTAATAGCCTTTTAGCCGCTAAGCCTTTAATAGCCGCTAAACCGCTAATAGCGCTAATCCGCCAATAGGGTTGCTTCGCAAGACGAAAAAAACCGCTAGACAAAGAGACTCGCGGAACGGATTATTTTCGTCTTGCGAGGCACCACTGTAGTTATTATTGATTAAATGTCTATATCGCCCTTCATCGGAAGATCACAGGGCAGTTTACAATATAAAAACACAATAATGCATAGCGTAATAAGAAACCAAAACAATAACCCCCACAGAAGCTGGAGCTTCTGGGTTTTCGGGTTTCTCCCCAGTAGCAGTTGGAGAGGGTGATATAGATCAAGGGAACTGGTTCAGAATGAAAGGTTTCAACACTACTTCCACCTGAAGCTGCTTGAATAGGGTTTTTAACTAGTTATAAAAAGAAGGAAATGGGGGTGGGACTAGAGATCCTGATCACAGCTCTCCCTCAGCATATCCATTTTGGCCCTTAGCACAGTGGTTTTTAAATACACAACAGGGTAGAGGGTTCTTCCCCTGGGATGCTGGAGTACATGTGCACTGTGAAATGTGCAAGCAGATACTGATTGGGCAGCCTTGCAGATAAGTATTGGGAGCCATTCAATTATCCTCATGCTCTGATCCCTGTTCCCTGCTCATGTGAGCATCTCTTCAGCCAGGAGAGAGGGAGAGTTTACCAATGACCTCCTCTGTCTGTGGAAATTGCAATGCATGCTTGCATCTGCATGCTGTCATCTTCCAGAATGGGGAGAATGTGTTCACGTGCGGTAGCAGCAGGGGCTGCACCTGGCCACCTCTAAGTGGTTACCGATCACAGGCAGCATACTTTTATTACAAGGGAGTGGTTAAGGGTCTGCTAATTTCCTTATTGCAGCAGTGTTCGTACATGAATAAACATAATTGCCTAATTCCACAATCTGCTGCAATGGTCCGTGAATATTTCAGGTCGAGCTCACAACTGAATGCAGCTTCATAACCTGTGCCTCACTGTGCTCACATCGCAAGTTACCCCAGCTTATTTTCCCTTGGTTAAGTTGCTGCTTTGCCAGATGTAGCCGAGTGTAAGGCAGAGAGAAGGCATGGCAAGTTGTCATTGATAATGCTTTGTCTCCACAGTTTTCTTGCGGGCATTTCAGTCTCTGTGAAGCTGTTGCACAACCTTCTATACCTCATGTTTCACTGTAATGGCCAACAGGAGGGACTTTCCAAATACAGAACTTAGCTAAATTACTTGTCATTTCAGCTATGAATATTTATGGGATCAAGGTAACTTAATGGCTTCTTGTCTAGTCCTGCAACCCATTTTTCAGCACAGTGGTATGTGCTGGGTGCACATTCCCCAGCACATGCATGCTCATGCGCGCACACCCTTTGGAGGATAGCCAAAGCACCAATCAATGGCCTATTTTTCGTTGCAACCCATGTTAGCTAAAACTCTCAGTGAGC